CTTCGCCACACACATCCCCAATCCATCCCACATGCGCCACACCCTCGCCTTTCGCCCTCCCGTCTCCACTTGACCGGGGTTTACCTCCCGACGTCGATCGTTTCCTGCTCTCCAAACTCGCCCTCACACAATCCACGCCAACCTCCAACTCTCCCTTCGCACCTTCCCTGTCACCCCGATTCGTCCTGCTACCATCCTCCCCTCCCGCTCCTTGCAGGATCTGCCCCGCCACGGTGGCCAACAGTTCGAACACCCCGCCGCGACCCAGGGTCTTGGCCTCCCGCTTCGCAGCGTCGCCCCCTCGCCCCTGCTGTTCCACCAAATCACATCACGTCAGAATCCTACATCCACTCGCCCGCTCCATGTAACCACGTCGTAACACGTCCCAACCATTTCTTCTGCGACACACAAACCATCCACATACTACTCAGCATGCACTCCTTCCATCCGACCGCGACCAAACCATCGTACCCGCTGCGACCGCAGACCCCGCGGCAGCGCAGGTCCATCGTATCCGGGAAAGCCACCACCAACTCTTCGAATCCGAGCCTCCATTCTTGCTCGCACCACCCTCATACACCACCCATCCTCAAACTCTTCCGTTTCCCAACCAGGCGCTGCATCGATTCCACGTCCCCTACCAAAATCTTTACAGGTTTCACTTGCTTCTCAACCACACACCACTCTCGTTCCCTGCAAACCCACGCACAACAATCATGTCACACAACCATTCCTTATCCTACGCCTCAACCGCCCCCCACGCCAACTCGCCACCATATCAAACCCCTCCTCTATTCTGGACCTCGTCGGAACTTCTTCGCCATCCCTCCAACACATGCACACCACTCCTGTCGTCCACTCACTCGGACATCCCTCAAACCCTGTCCGCGACTTGCAACAACACGCCTGACTCGGCATTCCACCCCCATCTCGTTTCACCATCCCATGCGCAGGTCCAACTCATGCCGCCCACCCTCGGCCACAATGTTCCACACACCTACCACACAATTCGCGCGCTTTCCGCATCGACCAACACTCTGCAATCACGCTCATCGCCCCTCAACGTTCCTCAGCCCTCCGCTAACAACCACACTCCATCGCACCACAGCATCACAGCGTCCGACGCTACCACGGCACGCACGCAATCAACTGTCCTCCACTCCATCATTCCACCATGGACTTCGGGGACGACCCTCTGCCCAGTCCACAACCGAACCCTCACATCATCACCGCCCAGGGAGGTTACGATGGATCCTCGTCCCTCTACTGCCAAGCTTCTGTAATCTAGCGTATGCGTATCCGTATTCCACCTCTCGACGACACCCTGCACCATTACACTCTCGCCTCGATCCACAGCCTGCGCATCCTAAGATCGGCCCTCAACTCTCCAAGTTCCCTTCGATACGCAACCAACCTCCACATTGAGGTCACCCTGAGCATTCTCGGGACCTCGAATGTCCGGAGTAACTGTAGAAAGTCCAACGCACGAAGCGAACGCAAACCCGACGCCACTCATGCGAGCTTCTCCCGCCAACACATTCACGCCTCACTGATCGTTTCTTCTGTAATTCGGCACACCTTTACACGGCGGTCGTCTCGAATCGAGTCTTACTTCTGCGCTTTTGCGTGGTTTTTGTAAATTAAACCGATCGGGAAAGTTTACACGAGGTTGGCGAACGCCTTTCGAATGAGGACTAGTCCACTAAAACCCCGACATGGACCTAGCTGTGGCGTCAGTCAGTAAGGTGTAAAGCACTTTGTAACAAGTTTTTTAGGCTCAGTCGACACATGTTACCAAACTGCATCGGTAACGCAAATCGCACAACACAGCCAAGATCTTAAGAGGTGTTACGAAATCAACCTCCCGCAATAACCCCTGCTCCAACGTGAAAACCCCGCCAAAACCTCCGCGAACCTTCGTTCATTCCGTTACACAACCGTCCCAGTCAACACACCCTCGCAAACATTACATCGCTTATATCCTCTTTTGGACACGCCACGGCACGCCGTCGCCAAGCACCAGAAGCGTCATTTGAGGACTGAACGTTACCGTCGAAAACTCTTGCTGGAACGCAGTACACACTCTGCCGCTAAACACAAGAGCGAAAAGGAACAAATAGCACGCTCACAGCCCCTGCTTAATTGTGAAAGCTTGTTACCTGCAGGACCCGCCCACAGATCTCTAACGTCATACACTCAGTCGGCCCTCCCAAACTCCCCTCGCAGCAAGGCCAGTACGACCCTGCTCCGCAAGTTCGATCCCGACGGTCAAGTCTCTGCATCGCGCGTCCACGGGTCCCGTATCCAAACCCAGAATCGGGCCAAATGCTTCTGATGCACACTTAAGCCGTCAAACACACACCATTTGCGTCGCTGACATTCTTCAAGCATCTGACACCCACCGGATCCGAGGCCTCTGACACATACAGGACCGAATCGCAATCGATACCGCTCACCAGCACCCCCGACACAATCGACACACACGAAGACGCAGCATGCTCCAACCACACCTCAGGTTTTCCAATGCCGACACACACCTCTGCCACATCAGCTCCACACTGGAAAGTTGTGACCTGCGTCCACGACCTCTACCTCCGCATAACAATCCCGTCACAACCTCCTTTGCGTCTACGAAAGACACAAGCGCCAAGAAATGTCCGTGGAACAGTCGCCATACAACCACGGGGTGGTTTTCAACTTCACCACGAGCCCGCTCGTCTTCTAACCAAGTCGAACTACTTCGGCAATACCAGTTCACATGTGAGTTCCATGTCCTCGGCACCCGCAATGCGAATGGCCTTGGGCTCACTCTACAGCTCGAAAACAACACCGGAAAGACCACAGGCGCAGAAATGTAGCCATCTACCGTCGAGGTACAACAAAAACATCTAACCTCTGACTTGCCAGTCTTCTTCAACGCGCAACCGAGTCCACACCCACCTCCAGTTGCAGACGCAAAATTCACCCCAATGGAGAATCCGATCATAACCCTCGCTTCCCGCACACCCCTCACACTCACTCACCCAGTACTCCCTCTCTTACCACGCGACGCGCGCTTCCTCGCTACACCTCGTTCCTTCGAAACATCAAATTGTCCTCCCCTGCAACCCCGCGTCCTAACACCAACACGCGCAGTCCATCGAGCGGTCTACCCCTTCAAAAAATTCCCCGCACTCACCACTTACGACCCCCCCCCCCCCCACCAGTGTTTCTTCTTCTGCCATGTTGACCTGGCTACCCGATCTGCCCGGCCGGCAAGTCTATTTTATCCAAGACCGTCCCTGGGCGGGTGGTTGGTTACAAGGCGGATATGCAACCCGCCGCGACCAATGGCGGGTATTCGCTTTGACGGGCTCCACAAGAAAAAAGCGTTATTGGAGGACTGACTTCTAGTTAGTGCTCGCGCTGACCCGAACGTTTCCACCGACTTCTCGGTGAGGCTCTCATCTCACCGCCATTCCTAAACCTTGAGGTATGTAGGTGCTGTCTTAAATCCGGTTAGATTACAGCCTCATTTAATGCACTCCCGTAACTGAATTCTGTAGGAGGGTTGAGCGTTTGTTTCGGGGAAGTGGTGTTCTATTAACTGGGTTTCATTCATTCTTGTGCATTCTGACACTGTAGATTTGTTTCAGAGGTATAGGCCATGAGTATTAAATCGGTCTGGCCTTTGAAAATATGAGGAATGACTACACTCAGTTTCTACTGAAGGATCTGATTAGATAAGCTTGAGGTTTTGCAATCGCGTGGTGGTCTTTGGGTGGATTAGCAAAGAGAGATTCTGGTGTGATTTATTTTATTTTTGATTTGATTTGATTTTATTTTTTTGACACAAATAGAGTTATTGCTCTATTGCAGGTAAGTAAAAGGTACATATCTCCAACCAGGTCCGGTCAGGTATATTAGTTTACATACATTAACTACTTACTACACTGTTCCTAGGCCAAGATAACTTCCACTCAGGTTTGTTTACTCTCCATGCTGCTAACATGTGGTTCGTACACCATATCTGGCGAAACTGTTCAACGTAATCTACTGCCTGGAGCGGTCTTCGTTTCATGTTTTCTTGTGGTTTGAACCAAGCGTTCCTCCCATTGTCTACCAGTTGCAACTACATGCGATGAAATACTTGTTCTTGTGGCCAGAAGATGACGTTGAACGCGGTGTCGTTCCTTTCAATCCAGAGCACCCACATGACTATTCCTCGAATTAATAGCAAAATTCGACTCACCTTCTTGTATCGCCTAGGTATCCTATATGCGAAGACGCAGTGAATCCACGACGGTGTGAATTGCATAAGTCTGATTCCCTGCATATTACCACCCTGTGTGACAACTCGTAATCGCTACCGACCACCCATGTAGGCCGTATTAGTTGTGTTACCACTGCCCCCCTGTCCTCGTCTCGTTCTTTGTTCGATCTCTGGGGTTAGGAGATGAAGAAGGTGAGTACCCCACCCCCATGCTCGGGTTGCGGAGTTACACTCCCGGAACGAATGAAGCACTGTTTTGCGAATTCCTTCCAGGCAGACAAGACAACACTGGTCAACATCTCGGTTTACTCGCCCCCTCCAAGCATTCACCGCTACCGCTCTGTGTCATGTCAACCACATGAGCCCTGCCTCTTTTCTGGCTCTCTTCGCGTCCCATACATTAGCCCACCTCAATCTGGCTCCCTTGTGGAAGAATGTCGCCCCATTTTTGCGAAATTACATTGGGAAACACATGCCTGTTTTTTAAGCAATGCTCGGCCCAGCTGTGCAATAAATTGCATGAATGGGATTTGACCGGTCCACTGATACCGTCCTGGGTCCCATCCTAGACGGTCAATTCTGCCGTAGCATAAGTATGTTGTCTTTTTGTTTTGCCCGTTCGTAATTGGGATAATTCATACCCTCTTCAGTCTGCTTGTGATATATGTTCCGCTGTCGACTCCGTTTGCTGCCATGCAGTGCAGTGCCTCCACCCTAGTTTGAGCTCGAATGAGGTGAGTGTTCCTCCACCTGGTTTATATAATCGGACCTGGGGTGGGATCCAAAACTCTGTGGAAAGTAAGTTAACAACGTATGCAGCGAAGTTCTGCAAGACCACCAAGGGAGTCTTGGTAGTTTCATCCGAGAAAATGCCCACCCATTCCTCTTCCTTCAGCCACTGGGAGGAGGTGGGGAGTGTCTCCCTTTGTTGAGCTATCCTCCTGGCTATGACTGTCCATGCTCCCTCTCCCGGAAGCTCTAGCTCAAAACAATCTCTTAAAACCATGAAACTTAAAAAATTGTCATTCTCCCATTGGTCACCGTAGTTCACTAGGTCCTTTTTATGTAGCTTCTCTTCTTTCTGAGATTCCAAGGCCAATGTTAATAATTTCCTGGTCATGCCAAATGCTACAATTAATTTACTCCTTGTGACACATTGGAGGAAGGTACGATACTTTTGAGAGGAGGTCCTTCCATACTACCCTAATCCTATTCTATACCTTAGATCCTTCCTTCCTTAGGTGCTTTTTCATAGTGAAGAATTTAGGACTTGATTGCCATCTTTATTGTGCACAAGGTTGGAATTGACTAAGATGATATCTTAGAATCATGTGCAAATAGGATTTCAATGGTTCCATTGTTTTAACAATCCACTTAACTAACAATGTCACCAACGCATCTACTAAATTGATGAGATTGATATCCTTCTTATGAAATGGTAGGCAATATTGGAACCATGCCATTTTAATTTGAGCCTTATGCATAGTCCTCCTTGTAAGGTAATTACCAAAAGAGGCCTTTATTTGTGAAAAGTTCTTTTTTGTTCCTCTTTATAAGAAAATAAAGTAGAAAATTATTGATAACAAGATATTGTTGACAATTACACCTCTTCTAATGGCATTAACTATCATTGAGTACTAATGGCTTAGTTTCTTGTTAATTTTTTCTTTTAAAAACAAGTCAAAATCTTTTCATGTTAGAAACATTTCAAATAGTAGTCCCAACAACTTACTTACTTCATTTTCATTCATCCAAGTAATGCTTAGCTCATTGATCCAAGTTGATTGGATAAGGAAGTGGTCATTTTTCCAATGGCTACTTGATTTATTCTAATTCAAATTAAACCTAAGCCTAAGAAAAATATTTCAAGAATATAAATTGCTTACCATACATTTTTTTTTTCTTCTCTTCTTAGGATTAGAGATGTATTGTCTACATATTGCATTATTATTTATTATCTATAGGCCATACATAACTGTATTCTTTTATTAATTCTATATTAACTTCTCTCATAAACATTATATTAAGGACTTCTTATCACAAATATATATGTATATATATATATATATATATATATATATATACTTAAATAAGAAGTATTAGGTAAAAGATAAATGTAAAAAAATTTGATATTATTTTGTGGTGAAGCTTTTTAGAAGCTTTATAGATGCATATTTAACTTTATATATGATTATAATTGATTGATAGGTTAGAAACTTGACCAACAAGTTAGTCATATGTTGCACATGTAGATATCTGGTAGTACGACCTAATAATATGATATGCACATAAGAAAATTACCTTACAAGTTAAGACATGTATCTTGCAAATTGGACACATGTTGGAAGTCCTATAAGACATTGCCACATAGTTTTTAATTGGATAATGTATATAAAGACAAAAATGAAGCTTTTTTCACTCTTATTAATGTCTTTCTATTTATTAGAAATATTTCAAGACTTTTTAGTCTTCTTATCTTTAATAATAGCTATTCTAATTTAATATTATACCATCATTCAATGATTCTTCAATCTTTTTGAATAACACAACAGTATATTGATCTTTTAATTTTTTGAGATTCATATCCTTGATAGTTTGATAAGAAAGTTAATTTTTTGTCTGTGTTTTGTAATAGAAGTGAATAAATTATCCTACTTCTATTGTTGTATTTTAAAGGTTGCTGTCAAGGACAAGAACTCGATGAAAAAGCAATTCAGTCAAGATAGCCTTCACTCAAAGAAAGGTAACAAAATATAAATAAATAAGTATGTATATTGAAAGAGAAACTAGAATGGCTATTGTCAAAAGACAAGAAAACTAGAGACCCTTGAAACTAGACTAGAAGCAAGAAAAGAGTTGACAAGAGTGAAGAAGGCTTCACTCTTGTCTCTGTATATACTATCTAACTAGAGGCTACATGGCGACGTTCTATAGGACCTCCAATATGTGTTGACTTTGTAGGACACATGCCTTGACTTACAAGGCAAGTTTTTCTACGTGTGGACCACATAGTTAGCTTGATCTTCAAGCTAACAACATGTGTGGCACATGGCTAACTTGTTGACTACGTTTCTAATCCAAAAAGTCAAATAAAGACACATATGAAGTCGAAGCAACGTTTATAAAGCTTCTAGGAAGCTTCCATATTAAATACTATAGAATTAACTTACTTTTATGTACTTTTACTTACTTCCATCTATTTGTATATGTAATTACTAACTTACATGAGTATGTCCGTGACATTACCCCCCCTTCTAGGGACGAGTTCCACGAGGAGCGGTCATCGTATGTTGAGGAAATCTATGATGCGACGAATTATATTCGCCACATACTCTGATCTTTGTTCTCTTCGAAGATGATTGATAGGGCCTCTAAACCATTGGTAGTGTCCCATACTAGTGTAGAAAGACGACCCAGTTATATGATCATTGTTGAGGCCTTCATAACTTCCTTCAAATAGAACATTTGGAACACTATCAGGAGTTGTTCCTACCTCTAGCAAAATCACCAAACATCGGGAGTCCCTTCCCAAATCGTGATACCAAACGTGTTGTATCTCACCATCTATTCGAGGAAAAACATGTCGTTCTTAAAGATCTTCATCTCGATTGCATCGTCTTGAAGGTTGTGACAATCATAATGTCTCGTTTGGTAGGTCAGCAAATAAAGGCTCTTGAGTCGAATCCGCTGGTTGTTGGTTCTCCATCTCCTGAGCATCACAACTACAAAGAAGCTACAAACAAGGATTGAAAGTAGAATGTTATCTTACCTAGATGTTGTTTCTTTTTTAAAGAAGGTTTTTATCTTGACTTTGATGGATGTCATCGATGAAAAGCCTCCAGGGCCTTTGCTGCATTTGTAAGATTCTTTATTGGCTCCCATGTACATTCAGTAATATCATATCCGTACCAATGGACAAGATATTCCAATTTA